AAGAAAGGAAACAACTATATTAAAATGATGATACTCAATATATACTAATAACAAAAGATGAATACAAGTAACGTGTATACATTTTTTGGCACCCCCATTATATACTGGGGGGTGCCCAAAAAAATGTATAGAAGTGGACACTTTGGTTAACATTGCTCAAGCAGTAGTTTGCCATAATCAGAAGTGTCAGGGCCAGTTGAGTGGCCCAGTTGGTTAAGAGCGTGAGCTCTGAGCAACAGGGTCACCAGTTCGATTCCCACATGGGCCAGTGAGCTGCGCCCAAGCTGAGCTGCCACTGAGATGGTGAGAGTGAGTGCTCTTAGCAGCAAGGTTGCTGGTTCGACTCCTGCATTGGATGGTGGGCTATGCTCACCCTCCCCCACCTCTGCAACTAAGATTGAAAGCGGCAACTGGACTTGGAGCTGATGGGTCCTAGAAAAGCATAATGCTCCCCTTCCCCAATTCCCCAGTAAAAATCTTAAAAAAAAAAAAGTGTCTGGATGCTGAGGGTAACCACTTTGAACACCTCTTGTAATTGCAGAAGTCAAGTGTGACTTGTATTAATCTTTTGCTATCGGTATACATTGAGTATTACAATTTTAATCTGGTTTTCCTTTCTTAAAATGTATATATGGTTTTTGGCACCCTCTGTATATATGGAGAGAGGGAGAAAGGGAGGGAAGGAGAGGGAGAGAGAGGGAGAGGGAGAGGGAGAAGGAGAGGGAGAGAGAGAGAGAGAGAGAGAGAGAGAGAGAGAGAAATCTATACAGTATACATTTTAAGATTGGGATCATAAAAATTTTCAGAAAATGAGCTACAGTGTTTTTAATGAATCAAGTACATGAGAACATACTCTTAACGACGTAAACAAAAACTTTTATCCATTGAAATGGATAAAAGTTAGATATTAACATTAATCAACATTATGATAGGTTAGTAAAATAGTTTTATTTGCATTTACCTGATTGCTAATGAAAAAAAAAGTATCGAGGCTACTTTATACATTAAAAATTGACCCTAAATATTTATACTTGATAGTTNAGGCTGCCTATTTTGAAAAGGTAATTCACCATATAGGAAATGCAAGTAGATAATAAACATATGAAAAGATGGCGGTCACAAGCCAAGGAAATGCAAATCAAAATCAGCTTTTTTCCAATCCTGAGATTAAGGGGAAACTTCCTCTCCCATCCCCCAATGCCTTGCGTGTGTGAATTCCTAAATGTTTCTCACCATTCCTAACTTGTCCCTGTCTCCAAAGTTCACCGTCCTGTTGTATTATTATGAAACTTCCTTAAAACATAAATCAGAACTCATCACTGCACTGATTATAGTCTCAGAAATCTTTCTTTTCGAAACCACCTTTGATCCCCACGAAGCCTGATCTGAAACTTGCCAATTTCAGGGTTATCTAGGACCTTGGATGAGAAAGAGAACATCCAGCCATCCATTTATTCACTTATTTTTCCCGGTGCACAGTGATCTTTATTTTCCTTAGTGTCAAATATTTATTTTTATTAATCCGTTTAAATTCAGTTAGCATTTAAATTCAGTTATCAAAATAGTAAATTTGAGATATAGAATATGTGAGCTTAACCTATTATTTAAAACAAGATTGAGTGGCCGATCTAAACTGCATTAATGTTGAGGTGGTGAGAGTGTAAAACTGTTTCATGATACCTGCAACAACTGTAATGGGAAATGAAAATACCTGTGATTTCTAGTGGTGACGAAGTTGTGGAGTCCGCTAATAACACCCGACTACCAAAGTGCAAGGATGAGGCACCCCATCCTAGATGACCAGCTGCAGGGCTCTCATTTCTCATCCATGCAAAGGGCAATGCCCCCGAATCACTCTGAAACATGCGCACCCGCCAACGCAAGCTCCCCGTCCACTTCCCCAGCTACCAAGCCATCAGCTGCTTACCCACCGAGAGTCGGCCTGGAAGACGAAATCTCCCGACAAGCAGGACTTGGGTCTCCTACACAGCTGCGTCTCAGGGCCTAGAATGCAAGCAAGTTCAGGATATATAACCCAAAGGTTAAGGCTGAGTATGTAGAAATTTGCCCCATTTTGTACACAGGAAAAACAGGTACTTCTCTCGCCATGTGTTTGCTTCACTTTCTGTTACTACTTCCAAATCTATTTCCCAGTCAGATAAATACCTGAAGAGGTTGAAGATGGAAGTTCAAGGCCTCGGGTCTAGAAAATGGAGGAGATAGGATGAAAACCCAGGTCCGTCCGGCTCCAAAGCTTTTAGTTATTCCACTGCTCCCAAAAGTCACTATGTAAATATTCACCTCCCCCACCCTCTTTTTTTTTTAAAGCTAGTACTTAAGTACTTCCTCGTTTCCTTGATTTCATTTTCTCCTCAAAGCACTGCTATTTTAATATCCCCACTTTCGGAGTAGGGGACGCTTAGGAAGGTGCCTTTCTCACGGGCGGGTGAAGAACAAAGCAGTTTGTAAAGCTGGGGACCCCCAAGGGGACTCTGGACCCCGCGCTCCCCCCTTCAGCCAGCCTTACCTGAAGAAGGAATCGGCCTGAGGATGCAGACGCGAACAAAGCGAAGCAGGAAGGATGAGGGTTGCCTCACAATCTTTTGCTGGCTCCTCCTCCACCTCCTGCGGCGTAGGAAAGACCCTAGGCCTTCCCCTTCCAATCTATACTCCCTAGTTCCCTCCCCAGGAACTCTCATCCGGTCCTGAAGCAGCTGCTGGTCGCCACCCGAGCGCCAACTCCCAGCTCGGATTCCTAGCCCCTCAGGAGGGATGTGCTCCACCCTCCACACCCCACCAGTCCTGACTCCAGTCTCACATCTCAATAAAGGCATCTCCAGACCATAACCCCAGAGGTCATCCCTGATTCCCCTGTTTTCTTAAATCTCCCCTTTCAATCATTCCCACACCCTTAAATTTATCCTCTTATCTCCTTCTCCACAGCTCCAGCATAGTCTGAGCCCATCATCTCTCACCTGGATCACTGAAATAACAAACTAGTTTCCTAGCCTCCTCTCTGCAATTCTTTCCTTCATTTAAGCTTTCAGTGGCTTCCATTTCAATTGAAAATTCTAACTCCTCATCCCATTCGAATGCCCCCTTCAGCTTTGTATTGTATAAGTACTACTCCCCATAACAGAAACAGCCTCTCTTCAGCGCCTCAGAAAATACTGAGGTTCCTGCCTCAGGGCCTTTGCACTAGCTGTTTCTCCGAGAATTCATTTCCCAGTTCTTTCACAGCTGACACCTTTTCATTCTCAGGCCAAACATTAACTCCTATTAGAGGCCTCCCAGGCCACCCTTTCTAAAGGAGCCACACATACACTCCATCCCATTACTCTTGTTAAAGAACAAAATTCAACCACCAAGTAATTTGAACATCTAGTTGGCTTGATTAAGTGATTCATGAATCAGGCAACATCCCATCTAGTAACTCAAAGGG